GCTTTCGCAGCCGCTTCAGCCTCGTGGACGCTGCGTCGCGCCGCACGGTGGTCACCATGCAGCGGCGCGCGCCGTCCCTGTTCATGCCCGACGACCGGAGGTGGGAGGCGTTCAGGGGGGCCAGCACGAGCCCAACGGATCTGCTCTTCGAAGCCGTGCCGCGGCCTGCGCTGTTCAGCTGGGGCGAGGTGGACGTGCACCTCGCCGGCCGCGACCCCAGCGAGAGCCTCAGGCGGCGCGAGTTCGTTGTCGTGTGCCGCGGGCCAGAGTGCACCGTCCACCGTCGCAGCTCCGGCGCCGCCGTTGCTAAGATCGAGGATACGTCGGAACAGCGCCTGGAGTATAACGTGAGTGTCAGCCCAGGCGTGGACCATGCTTTCATCCTGGCGCTCACCGTGATTCTGGACGAGATACGTCTCGATGAAACTAGTTGATGACGCGTCCAGAGGCTCCAGCTCAGGAATTGAATTTTCCGCGACAATTTTATGTACTCTTTGCATGCAAGATGTCTGCCTCTTATTTTGCGATCAGTTCATCAATATGTTTTTTCTTCTTTTCTTCTGAAAATATGTTCTTTTCAAAGATGCGCAATTTGAATTAGTTTATGTCAGTGGTGGAAAGTGGCCAATGATTCCGTAGAACATATAGTGAGTGTTTTCGATAGTATAATACCCCTGAGTTGCACATGAAAAACCTATCTTACTTATAGAGTCTATGTAAAGCAAACATAAATTGCATATATAGTTGTGTAATTAGCATACATAACTTGGTCGAATAGGAAACCTACCTTTACCTCCTATGAGGTATTGACACTCATATATTTCCACATCCACTTTGAAAAGTGGTACTACCTCCGTCCTGGTTTATAGGGCCCATTTATAGTTTGTGCCAAATTTTGACTAAAGATTTAACTAACAAAATGTTAATGCATGTCAAGAAAAATCATTTCATTGGATTCATATTTTAACATAGTTTTCAAAAATATAATGTTTGATAACATGAATGAACATTTTGTTAGTTTAATCTATGATCAAAATTTGACACGAAATACCATGGGGACCAATAAACTCGGACGGAGGTAGTACGATAATTCTATGCACCTGGGGATTATCACACCCTCTAGGTCCATCTCGATGCTTTTCGCGTCCCTTGGTCCATCTCCAGCTACAGCCCGTGTCGGACATCCACCTCTAGTTGGCGAATGCAACCTCATCGGATCTTTTGAGGAAGAGACACCACCTTGTGTCCCAGTTGGGTCTGCTCAAAGTAGTTGACGAAGACATTGTGCCGGATCTTGGGAAGAAGATCTACCGCCTCACGTGCTAGTTAGATCTTGTCAGAGTGGCCGACGAAGACGTTGTGACGGATCTTGTGAAGAACATCCACCACCTCACCTCCCAGCCATGCATGGTAGACTGGTAGTGCAGCAGCGGCATAGGGGAGGAACATAACAAATCTCACCAACGGCAGCAGCTGAGCTCCTCAAGTGGGCCGACGATGGTGAGCTCCTCAAGTGGCATGGCAATGATCATCTCCTCTATTATTATCCTGGCGATGGCGAGCTCCTCCAGTGGCCCGACGATGGTGAGCTCCTCAAGTGGCACGGCAACAAACATCTCTATTGTCCTGGCGATGACGAGCTCCTCCAGTGGTCTGATGGTTCCAATCTCAAAGTAAGAGTGGCAGTCGTGGCGAGATCCTCAATGGCCTAGGGCTGGGGTGTTGATAAGTTAGAGTTAGGTAAGTACTTTATAGAAAGGGCCGAACTACATGGGCTTTGTGACCCATGTGATTATAAATATTTTTAGAAGCAGTGATTTTAAAATCTGATGTTGGGTTCTTAAGCATCTAAAATCGAACGGTTTTTGTGGCAATTTATGTTGACACGGGGGTGGATTATTTTTTAGCGAGCACGGCAAATCCTGGCAAAAAATTAAACATGGCATTTTCTTTTTTCTTTTGGTCTACTAGCAGTAGCAATCGGTGTGGGCATGATGTTTGTCCCTTTTGTTTCCTATTGCATGTCGAGTTTGAACGATCTGTTGCTTGACTCGATTATCGTCTCTATTATGTTAATCATGCTTTATCACTATTTTTTGGATTAAACTTCATAAAAAATGCTTTTTAATAGTAGAAATATTGCTTAATTATTCAACAAGAGTTAGGTAGGCAAGCTCCATGAGCTTTGGGGACCATATATGACTATAAATCCTCGCGAGCCGTCCAATTCGTTTATGGAGTTGCCCGTAGTTCTTTTCTTATTTCTGCAACAGGGCTTTTGTTGCAGAATTTTATATTTCTGCAACAAAATCTTTGTGGCAAAACCTTCTTTTCTATAATTTTTGCAACAAGACCCTTGATACAAAACCTACTCATCTTTAATTTTCTGCAACAAGATCCATGTTGCAAAAATTGCAACAGCATCTCCGGCCACTTGCGCACTTGCTCAGTTGTCGCTCACTGCCTTTGTTCCATAACAACACCGCTGTTGCAGAAGATGAAAGAGACGTGTGTGGTCCAGTAGGTCATGTGTCAAGCAAGGGAAGCGGTGGACGCTCCGCGTTAGATCAGGCGGTAGATCAGAATCATTTTCCTAAATATTTTTGGAATAGCATTTACACATTAAAACCTGCGGGACGCAAACTCCTTTTTACCGGAGGCGGGAGGTACCGGAGCCGCATCCGCCGTTGGCTTTGGTTGTGATTCATGCGCTTCGATGGCCCACATGTTTGTATATCAGTGTATTCCATCTTCTGGACTGCTGTATTCATCATTATGTCAAACCAATGTCAGATTGATGGGACACATGTCAGGTGAGAGAGAGAGTCTATCCTGACGTTGCATGTGGTGCCGTGGTACAAATCCTTTCCTTTTATTTTCTCTTTAGGATTTTCAATCATTTCTATCTTTTAAACCAACTGTTATTTTTGAAATATTTTATATATTTGAATTCCTGAAGCCAAGAGCTTTAGTACAAGACCAAATTTGGATGCATTTCAAACATGTTTTAATGTCAACATTTCAAATAACTGAAATTAGGTTTCTGAAACAAGCGAAATATGTTTTTTGAAATAATTGAAATTAGTTTTTTTTCATTGAGTGAAATCAATTTTGAAATATGTTTTCTCAACTGAGTGAAGTATGTTTTCTCAACCGTGTGAAATTATTTTCTTTAGATGAGTGAAATTTGTTTTCCATACACGTGACACATATTTCGGTGTGAAATACGTTAAATATAGTGAAATATGATTTCTAAAATGAGTGAAATCTAACTTTAGTAAACGGGTGTGATGTGTTTTCTGAATCTAGTGAAACGTGAAACTGACTGAAAGATTTTCTGAAATGAGTAAAATAGGTTTTTGAAATAATTGAAATTAGTTATTTTCATTGAGTGAAATCAATTTTGAAATATGTTTTCTCAACCGTGTGAAATTATTTACTTGAGATGAGTGAAATTTGTTTTTTATACACATGTCACATATTTCGGTGTGAAATACGTTAAATATAGTGAAATGTGATTCGGAAAAAATATAGTGAGAAGGATGAATGGAATCTATCTTTGAAACAAGTGAAATTGTTATTTCAATTTAGTGACTGTAATGACTTTTTCTGAATCTAGTGAAATGAGTGAAATATATCTTTTGTAATTAGTGTAATCAGATTTAACAAGTGAAATATAGTATTTTAATTGAGTGAGTGTAATGCGTTTTCTGAAATGAGTGAAATGTGAGCAATAAGATACTTGAAGAAAGTAAAATATATCCATTGTTCTGTGAAACTGTCTATTTCAGTGTGTGAAACTGTCTATTTCAATGTTCTGAAACTAGTGGAATGGGTGAAATCTATTTTTTGAAACGAGTGAAACATAATATTACAATGAGTGAGCGTAATGTGTTTTCTAAAATGAGTTAAACTAGTTTGAGATCTATATTGTTTAATAAGTGAAATCAATTTTTTAAACCAGTGAAATATAGTATAGTATTTCAATTGAGTGAGTGTAATGTGTTTTCTGAAATGAGTGAAATATATCTTTTGAAAATGAGTGTAATGTGTTTTTTGAAATTGTGAAATCTATTTTTGGAACGAGTGAAATTTGTTTTCTTAACTGACTTTTTAAAAGAGTGAAATCAATTTTTTTGGTGTGGGGAAATATGTTAAATGGGTTATTTCAAATACATTCAAATGATTATTTAAAATATATGAAATTGGTATTTATGAAATACATGAAACATATTTCAATGTGATTGTCAAGTTGTTTATTCAATGTGTGAAACTGATGTTTGTGAAATACAACTAGAACTAAAATATGAAAGCTATAAAATTCAAATTGTTCAAAATATATCCAAGACCGGTCTTGTTTCAAAGGTCTTGTCGCTCTGAATTCAATTTTTTTTCCAAAAACAGAGTTTAGATTCAAAGCATATTTATCATCCAATTTGTTTCCAAAAAATTTAATGGACGTCTTGCGGTGGGAGAGAGAGGAGGATAATATATATACCATGCATGCAAAGGTCCTATCCCCTGACAAAAGTTGCTGCATGTAAAAGGACACACACTTGTATTACCAATGTATAGAGTTAGGGCTGCAATCACTAGTTTATACAGACAAAGGCCGGACGGATGTTGACGAAATGGACAAAGGGTGGATCCAACACCGGTACATCCCGCCGCCGGTAAAATAACTTGGTCGCGCAACCATGCATGGGCTAAACTCTTGGCAAGTTCAAAAAGATTTTTCACAGAAGTTCTGACGAAATAAAATGTCACCGACGTCATGGATATGCCAGGGGCAATGTCTTGTTCAACAAGAAATACTAATCTTTCGGCCTGTATATATATAACTTAAGAAGAAAAAAACCTTCCGGGTGGTGCACGATACAAGGGAAGGCCGTCGTTTCGTTTGGTATTAAGCCTGTCTGCGGCGGCTCTTTGTCGACTCTCGGCGTCGATCGATCCGGTCACGACTCACCACGAGCACCCGCCGATCGACAAAGACGACCATGGCACCGACGACGACGGGGCCGGTGGTAGACGAGCGGTTCTGCGCGCCGCACGCGACGGCGTTCACCGTGAGCAAGAAGCCGGAGCGCAACATGAGCATCAGGGACGACGCGGATGGCGCGGCGGTGATGCGGGTGGAGGGGCAGCTGTGGTGCTGGCCCCGGCGGTCCATCCTCCTGGACGCGGCGTCGTGCCAGACGGTGGTGACGGTGAAGCGCTGCCCGTCGCTGCTGCCGGTGACCCGGAGGTGGGAGGCGTTCAGAGGGGGCAGCACGAGCCCGGAGGAGCTGCTCTTCGCCACAGTGTCGCAGCCATGGGTGTTCTCCAGGGGCGTGGTCCACGTGCACCTCGCCGGCGGCAACCGGAGATACAGCGAGAGGCGCGTGGACTACGTGGTCGTGTGCGGCGGACAGGACGGGCGCGAGTGCACCGTCTCCCTCGGCAGGGCCAACGGCCCCGCCGTCGCCAAGATCAACCGCACGACCGAACCGTCCGATGAGCAGCCGGAGTATAGGGTTAGTGTCAACCCAGGCGTCGACCGTGCTTTCATCCTGGCGCTCACCGTGATTCTGGACGAGATACGTGTCGACGAATCTTGGCGGCACAGGAACTGAAGTGCCGGCCGGTTCCAATTCAATTTTATGGGTTCTTTTCATGCAATATTACCTCTAATCAAAGATGCGATATGAATATGATTTAGTTTATTACGTGCTCTCTATGGAAACTGATGCTGCAGAACTGAAAGTGTCTGTTTTGGATAGTTTGGGGGCGCCTGATTTTCCTTTTAATCTAGTCAAATCAATCAACACCGTTTGATCTAGATCGAACAACCGAGAACCTTTCTTCCTCACCGGGTCATCTTCCTCCTCCCGTACCCCCTCTAACGCCAACCCTCGATTGTGATACCGGGCGCGCCTAAGTGCCTTGGCCTCCCCTGAACCGCCGCTCCCGGCCTACCTCTAAACCCCGAATGATCCAATCGTCGGAGTTCTCTCAGCACTCCTCCCCGCGCGCACACACACCAAGCCCGTCAAATATCCGACTCCCCTCCACATGGCCACCTGGGACGCTGCTGCCATATCTTTGTTGCCTCTGTCTCGCCGTGAGGCTGTGGGGAGAAGATGAGGTTCAGGCCGTCTTGATGCCGTGAGGCTGTGGGGAGAAGATGAGGTTCAGGCCGCCTTGATGGAGGTAAAACCCAATGTACTGCTCTTGTTTATATTGATGAAGATGTATCGAGTACAAAGTTGATCTACATCAAGATCGCAATGTGTGGTCTAACTCTAGGGTTAGGTGAATGATTTGCGTTGATGTGTCCCCTCTACGGGCTAAACTCTATGGCTTATATACATGCCAGGAGGGTATTAGGATTACAAGGTCGGTAGCTAGGAGCTAGGCAGGGGCAGAGATCTTGGAGTATATGTCAAGTTTTCGGGGGAGGCAGTCGCCTCCTACGCACGGCTTCCGGAGTCCATCTTGATCACGAATGGGCTCGTCGGCCCAACCCGAGGAGAATGGGCTGTCTGGGTTAGTACCCTCTTATTCAGGACACTGTCACACTTCTTCTTATAGGATTCCTAGCATTCACTCAAACGTTGAAACTTAAAACTTGGCAGTAGTTCAGTGGCAAGGACGCAGTGGCGTTACCTTGCAGGCCGGGGATCGGCTCTCGTCGTGAGCGAATTTCCACGATCTCTCCGGGTGGGCTTCTTCCTAAAAAAATGCCATGGGTGCTAGTGCTCATGGATCTCTTTTTTTTTAAAAAAAAACTTAGTGTGCCCTCACGCGGGATTGAACTACTGCACGAATTGCAAAGCAAAACGAGCGGGCGACATGACTTAGCAGGTGAGTGTGCCCTGGCAAATTTCCGTCTAAGTATTGCACATTTAAGTCCTCTGTCATTGTAATTAAGCGAAGATTCATGCGGGCATTTGCTTGTATCTTTTTTTTTCTTTTCAGTTTGATTTAGTCACTTAGATGTACAATAACTAGTGCTCTAGACAGACCTTTTTTTTTCTATGATGCAATCAATCAAGGTAAACGTTTGGAGCCGGGGCACCGACGAAATGCTCGGCCGGTCGCGCGCACAGCGTTGAATTGTCTCGCGACGAACGCTCCAGTTTACACCACGTCATCTAGTCAGCCAGCGCACACACACGTGAAGACGGTGGGACCACGCACCGCTCGTGAGCAACCTTATCCCCTTCAATTTCTTTCTCGTTCTCTCGTTCTCTCCTTTCTCTTCTAGAGCATGCCTGGGCAGGCCCTTTCCCCTGCTCCAGATCAGCGAGCGGCCATGGCCGGCTCCTACCCCCGCCAAGGCAAATCGCGGGGGAGGGCCACCACGCGCCATGTCCTTCCACCCACGTGAGAGGAAACCATGGTAGGGTGCTCCACGTTCGCGCGGATCTCCCGAGGAAGGAGGAGACGATGGAGCGGGGGAGCTGTAGGTGTCGTGCACCGACCGTGCTGCGACAGGGGAAGGGTACACACGCCGGTGATGGCGTACCCCCGCGCGCAACTGGCGAGTGGTGGAGCTGGTCTCCGGCTACGGTGGAGTTGCAAGCGGCAAGGGGCAAAGCTGCAACCGGCAAGCGGCGGAGCTGGAACCGGCCTGAGAAGGAGCTGGAAACATTTGACTTTTTTGCTGGAAGGTACGGCGTGCGACTGAGCTTCAACGCCCATTTTTTTGCTGGAAGCATCGATTTATTTTGTTGGAAGCAGCATTTTCTTTTGCTGGAACACTTCTTTCAAAGCTGCGAACAACTTTTTTTCTGGAAGCAGTAATTTTTTGTTTTGTTTGAAGCAACATTTTGTTTTGCTCGAACTAGGCTCTTCAGAGCTACGATGATGGAACAACACACTTTTTTGCTGGAAGTCATGTTTCTTTTTGCTGGAAGCGTCACTTTGGATTGCTACTGTCGATGCATCACGACGAGCGGCAGAGCTTCATATCTGCAATGGGGACAAGAGAAAAGCTACGACAGTTGAGGGAAAAAGCTACAACCAGTGTTTTTTTGCTGTCACCGATGTGTGGTTTTCTTTCACTGGGACGTACGACCTGTGGTGGCGGACGGCCGTCGCCGGCAGCACGGTGATGCCTCGAGGTTGCAACCATTGTTGTTTTTGCTACTACGGTGTTCACGAATTGATACATCCGTTGTCTGTTTTTGCTACTATCATGAATGCACAGTCAACAGATTTTTTTTCTTACGTTTGACAGCGACGAAGCGTCGGGGCGAGATTCGACGGCGAGCATCAGGGGCCAGTGCGGCGACCCGCGGTGACGGGCGAGCGCGCGAGGGTGAGTGCTTCGAGGTCGGTTGTGTGCTCGTTCATGAAGAGTCCGAGTAGGAAGAACGAGCAGGGGGGGAGAAACAAGATCGTGCGGCTACGAAGCGCTTTTATCGTGCGGTCCTGGTGTGACCGGCCCAAAGTTGGGCCGGCGCGCCGGCGCCTATTAGCTCCCATCAACCAAACAACTTAAAATCCTCTAGAATTGAGATGACCATCACATTTCACTCCTAGATTTTCCCTATTCCCGTGTATTTAGAGTCCCGCGAATCAAAGAGGACCTAGATGAAGATAAAACTTAAAGCTCTCCGGTCTTGGTTGAGTCGCCGAGAAGTTTCATACTTCCTTCGAGAACAATAAGTATCGCAGTTTTTAACACCAAGCCCTTTTCATTCTATGCTTGTAGCTCCGTGTTCATCGTACTGAAATATGCCAGGGATAATGTCTTGTACAGCAAGGAAACAGCGACCCCTCAGAATTCAGATACACGAACGAAACCTTGAGAGTACGAGGTCCGTACGTATGTACATGTGCACATAGTACCTACGTGTGCGTGTACCTGACGATCTCTTGCGGCTCTGTGTCAGACTCTCGACGTCACGAGCACCCACCGATCGGCAAGTTCTCGGTGGTGGCCGCGCGGTTCTGCGCGCGGCGCCCGACGGCGTTCACCGTGGCCAAGACCGGCTGGCCGTGGGGCCGCGACCTGACCGTCACGGACGCCAGCGGCGCGGCGGTGATGCGGGTGGACGGGTCCTTCCTCTTCGGCCGCTCCGTCCTCCTGGACGCCGCGTCGCGCCCCGTGCTCACCGTGCAGCGCCGGCCGTCCCTGTTCGAGGCCCGCCGGACGTGGAAGGCGTTCAAGGGGGACAGCACGAGCTCCGACGACCTGCTCTTCTCCGCCGTCGTGCGGCCTTCGCTGACCAACACGGGGGACATCCACGTGCACCTCGACGGCGAGAGGCGCCGCGACTTCGTCGGCGTTCGCCCCTGGTACCGCGGGACTGACTGCGCCATCACCCACGCCGGCGCCACCGTTGCCCAGATCGAAAGCTCGGGGGGATTCTTGAGTCCGGCGAAGTATGACGTCCGTGTCAACGAAGGCGTCTACCATGCTTTCGTCCTGGGCCTCACCGTGGTTCTGGAGGGTATACGTCTCGACGACGCCGAACAAGAGAGGTCACGAGCTAGAAATAATAAAAGGACTGTGCTATTTCACGCTCGCTTTCCACTGATTTTTTTCCTTCTTTCAAAAACCGTAATAAATCGCTAATAGTTTTTTTCTGTTTTTTCGCCGCATAATATGAAAATAAAATAAAAGTGCTTGAAAGAGGATTCAAACCTAGGTCAATGCAATACCTATTGAGCCTAATAACCAACTAAGCCACCTTTTATTGTTGTTTACTGTAGGTAAACAATGTTATTTGAACATTTCTTATTTCTGCCATATCAGAAAATAAATAAAGTTTGGCTTGGTAACTTTGGCATGATCAGCATGATAATTAGGGTATGAGCAACATGATAACTATACCATGATAAGGCTGATAACTACAGTACGAGAAGGTTAAGGCATAAGGAAGTATGGTAATTTAACACATAAATTACCGATGAAAATGTTTAAAAAAACTTTTTTCCCTTGGATGAAAGATATCATGGTGTTTAAAACGTAAGATATTAGTTATCAAATCTGTGATGTATACATTATCATGTTTTTTACATAGAAATTACCGGGTGTATATTTTTCAACAATAAAAATTCAGGTCAAGAATTATAATGGCGTTTGTATATGAGTTATCAGCTTAGTATG